TTTTCCTGAAATTGCATGAAATTTCCTGAGATTCCCTGCTTTCCAGGTCCAAAACTGAATTCCCAGAAATTTCCTGATTTTTCAGATTTTTCCAGGTTGTCGACACACTGTCTAAAATTCGCCTCAGAATTGTCTTGCAATTTTGCTTAGAAATGTCCCTAAAATTATCTTGAAATTCGTTTCGTTATGCCCTAGGAATGTCCTTAAAACTACTATCAGAATTTCTTTGGAAATTTACCCTCAAATTCGATCCTTTTGGCTTTTTTTTTCGAATCCTGGGATCCATTTCCCAATCGACGTGCAATTTTCAACAGAACTACTTAAAAAATCTACTCTGAATCTGAACTCACACAAGTGACGTTAAAGTTTCGGAATTTACGTGGTTTTTTTACGCGGATTCCGAAATTTACGCGGTTTACACCGATTATATCTATCAATATGCGTCAATACTACCAGTTTCATCAAAAGTGGAGAATACTGTCAAATTCCCATTGAAATAGGTATTTTTGTAATCGGGATGATTTCCAGAGACCGGAAATTGATATCCGACGCCATTTTGAAATCCAAGATGGCGGCTTCAAGTTTCAAAAAAAGTGTCAAATACCCTACAATATGGGTATTTTCGGAACGGGGACGACGTGTAGATGCCTAAAATTGATGACTGACGCCATTTCAGAATCAAATATGGCGGCCAGTGGTTCAGAATAAGTGCCAAATACTCTACAACATGGGTATTTTCGGAATGCAGGGCTGGTAGTGGGTAGGTGATGTAATAGTAGTGACTTTAGTGACTAAAATTACGAAAATATTGACCAAATAGTGACCTTTAAACAATTAAAAAGTGACCAATAGTGACATTTATTGATCGGAAAGATGTTGTTTCGTTATTACGGTATTTTGAGCTATTTAAAAATAAAACAAATAATTTAAGGATCACATAAATTTGCTATAAAAAAGGATGAATTGAATAAGCAAGTGCACGGTCCATTTCTGACCTCCATTTCCTCACTCTGCAGATCACGAATTTGTTATTAGATCGCGAAATTGAGGCACAGAGAAAAATGTTCAAAGTACCGGTTTTAAACATTTTTTTACAATTGTATCAATATGAAGCGATACATTTAATAACATGAAGAACTACAGTCTTTTTACTTTGATCCTCCCAAGAATAGAATCTTCTGTAACACCTCAAACATAGAAAAAGAATCATAACTCTGGGATCTAAAACAACTATTCTAGATCGCAGTTTAAGAAAAATCTCATCTCAAATTTTTCAGAAATTTTTCCCAGATGGAATGATCACCTACATAAAACAAACTTGAATGCGTCTAGGACTTAAAACCTCGATCGTGAAAAATTAGAGATTTAGGAATACATTTTAGAGTTCTTTATTTTTTTTTCTAAGACCTAGGCCTGGAATGTTTGTTTTTGTATTACCGGAATATTAGTATGGAAAAAATACAATACCATTTAATGGACTTAAAAAGTAACTTAAGAATCTGTGACATGATTTTTTTTTTCTCGATGTTTTGACAAATACTAAAGCCCGCGGGGACTAAAGATTATTCAAATTTCTGGCTTTCGAACAAATGTCGAGAGCTTGCAAATTTTCCTATACCATTTTTTGACATTATACATTGAACCAACGGGAAAGGTAATTTTTACGGTATTTTTTCAAAATAGGAATTCAATAAGGTACACGTCGCGAAATCCGCACCTGTTCTAACAGCTCCGGATTTACTGTATTATATCATTCGGCCTAATGGTCTTCGACCTAGTGACCTTCGGCCTAATGACCCAGCATCTTTGGCACCATGGTCAAAAAGTTACTTATTTTACTACCACAAAAAAAAATCAATCATTTTCTATTTTGTCAAAGAGTCGGATAATGCTTGGGAGTCGAATAAAGGCGCATCTATCGGTCACCAAAAGCTTTGTGTCACTTTTAAACACTATTATGAATAACATAATGGCCTACTTTTCTTAACTAAATTAACAGTGCCGAAAAGTTCTACTGTTGTTCAGGCATTTATTTGTTAGATATACTTATTTGTTGCTCTGAAATGTTAGTTGGGCAGTTGGCAAGCATGTCATCAAATCTCTATAGTAAAATGCTAAAACGACAGTTCTAGCAGTTATTTCCAAATACTTTCTGCATAATCATATCTAAACATTTAGGTCTCAAATTTGGGCAATAATTTCAAAATTTGAATCATCTTAGACATACCGTGAAGGCACGATATTTGACGCGGTTCCTAACTTGACACACTCGATCATTTTCGACTATTTTCAATTAATATTTTTGAAATGTTAACGTTGTAAATATTAGTTCCGGTTCGCTAGGGATGATAGTGTAACAAAGCTTTAAAAATATTATTATTGTTATTGCTCAGCTCACACCCTGGCCGACTATCGCCCGCCCATCTGCACTTAAGCTAGCTATGAATCTACGGAAATTTTGGTCTTTGCCTATGCTAGACCGTATAGCATAACGACTTTCTTCAACCAGCAGGCCTGTTGCTCCCGTAGGCAGTCCCACTAGCTTCAGATTTGAAGGGGATAGTAGGAGAATAAAAGAAAAGAGAAGAGTGATAGAGTATTTGTTGTTGTTTTTTCTGAAAAGAGAAGAACAAAAACAGCACGCCGATTTGTTGTGCTGCATGAGCTATGTCCGCTTTCATTCCCGCTCCTGCGGGTTACGTCCCTCTTCACGTGCTCACTCACTCAAGTATCCTGGGAACCTCCAGAGGTGCAAAGGGCCAACATGAGAAACCTCCATTCTGAGCGGTTGCTTGACCTGGGCCCAGGTCAAATTCCTATTGGCTTGCTTGATTTCCTTGTTGGGGTTTTGCTGCCATAAGCCCCTGTACCTTTGCTGTGACGTACTGATGAATTTGATTCACATGCTTCACACGCTTGCCTGCATTGATATTGTCGGTTGTATATTATTTTTATTTTTATATTGTTTTTCGGCTGCCAGTACGCTGCCAGCAACAATTTCCATTGGGGATCATTTGATACGTTTGGGTTTCCTGCACAGACGACTTTTTTCCTAGATACAAGCTTCGTCCAGTATACATTGACTGTCTCCAACCGGCATGATCCTTTCTGTCTGCTTCCTCTTGCCGGTGCAAGTTTAATTCTTCTTTTCTTGTTCAAACTTTTTTGCTACTTTCCTCCTATTGAACTTCTGGTCGTGTGTCGTGTTCCCATTTGTCCTCAGGCAGCTAATATTAGTACATGATAGGAAGAAAGAAATAGAACAAGTTAAGTGTGAGCCGCATGCATTGGTTACTTACAGGGTTGCTTCCACTCACTTGCCATAAAAAAATGTTTTTTTTTTCGGAATCATGAAATCATTAGATGTTTGTATGATATGTTGTACCTGCAAGTCAAAAGCAGAGGTTTCAAAGCATGCGCTTGACACACGAAACCCGTCAATCTCGTCTTCTGAGTGTCACAATCAGAGACTTCACGACCGGTGAGCGTTCACTCAGAGTGAGCGCTCGCGAGTCGTAGAATCGCTGACTGTGACTATCCGAAAGCGAACCTGACAGGTCCCACGCGTCAAACACTTGCCTTTCAACCTACTCCTGCATCCAGCAAGCACAAAACATCATTAACTCACCCCCTTCCCTCACACTATTATGGTCGGAAAAGAGAACCCATATTCAGCAATCTCTCGCGAACTGCGATGCCGAAGATAATAATAGCAAACTAATCTGGAACTGATCTAAGACATATAACCCAGTGAGTACTGACACATCACAATGTTGTGATGGAGCACGGACGTAAGATTTACTAGAGTATTAAATGCAAAATGCAAATGCAAAATAAAACTTGACAAAACATCGTCAATCCCCTTATTCTTGGGCAGGGCCTGACGATGTGAATCCGATTTTGATCAGTGAACGGATCCCATATGGTACATTTTCTCACAGTGAACCTGTCTTTTCTAACCCATCTGAACTATTCAATAAATGGAAACCATAACATGGATTACGCTCCCCCTAAGCGGGCCCTCATGTCTTATCTCAAATGCCAATGGTTTGAATGTATCAATATAAACATTGGAAATGACGTTCAATCAATAAGCCTATACCCCACTCACTTGGCCAGGCTTAAGACTCGTCCAGTGGGCAATGCGCTCTACACTCCATGTTCCCTTTCAAATTCACCCCAAATTTTTATATTTTACCCCTTTGAGTGTTGATTAATCACAATGAAACATTGTCACAGAGGGGCCTCCCTTAGCTCAGTCGATAAAGGCGCAGCTACAAAGCAAGACCATGCTCGAGGTGGCTGGGTTCGATTCCCGGTTCGGTCTAGGAATTTTTCGGGTTGGAAAATTTCTCGACTTCCCTGGGCATAGAAGTATGATTGGACTTGCCACACAATCATATCAATTCAAAAATGGTACAGGCATCGAAAGCTCTCAACTGTGGAAGTGCATCTAGAACACTAAGTTGAGAGCACGTAATAAGCTAATATGCGATATGCAATAAGCTTGAAATGCGCTGAAGAAGAAGAACATTGTGACAGAGCACAGATTTGAGGTTACTAGAGTAAATGTTGGTAAGCATGATTACCTCTCACCCCAGCAGGCCATGGTTCAATCCCAGTCGGCGCCGCCGGGATGCTTTGAGGCATAACATCTCTGATCACGCCTTCCTTTGGAAGGGAAGTAAAGCCGTTGGTCCCCGGTTCATGAGTTAGGGTCCAGGTGTGGGAGCTGCATCCCCGGTACCATTGGTGCTCAGCACGGAAAACAAGATCAACGGAAAACACATCAAGGAAAAAAAAAGAAAGTGTTTAAAACAATTGTACAATTCATTGAAACACAAATTTCAATAATGATGCAAACTATTGAAATTCAGCTTTCAATACCCAAACTACAATAAACACATTTTCAGTGAGTAACTCCCAGCGATTGCCGCAAGCTCCAAATTTCCCGAACAATAGAATCCCCTATGATCCTCCCCAGTCTTTGCATTACGTACCGTTCGATCCTATCTATTTCTAATCATCACACAGCCATCCACCACTGCTGACACGAGTAAGTCCGTCCAGACAGCTCTTTTAATTGCAATTTCATCAAGATAACCAGCGACCGTTGGCCGTTGGTTGCTGACAGCCGCGTATCATCAAATTCGGTCACAATCTCTTTCTATCTTTCTCTCTCTCTCTCTGTGGGTCGCTCTCACGAAAACCGATTCTTCAATAACAATTTCTGTGCAGTGTGTATGAAAATGTCCACCCTCACAGCGGCACCGGTTTTAATTAGTAATATTCAGCTTAAGTGCACTTTCCCGCTTCGTGAACAGACGGAGTATTCCACAGACCTTAACGCAATTCGCTTTCAATTCGCCGTTCTTCGAACTTCTTCCACTCACTTTCTTTCTTCTGCGCCACCTTCTGATAAGGCACGATAAGACAGCAAAGTACACTAATTGGTCTCCAATGCTAATTTACTGCTGCGCGGCACGAAATTTGCTTCGTTATTTCCTTCAACTGCACACAACCAACTTTTTTTTTTCTTCAGCTCTTCGCATGTTTTTTTTTTATTTGCCGTTTCTGCACAAATTGGTTGTTTTGTTTTAATTACGATATCAGAACCTCGTCCTCGGGTAGAGTATTCTGCTTCTAGTGCTTTCGCCTTCTTTTTCGCCCGTACCTGCTATGATGTGTTGTTACATTTTTAGCCTATTTATTTTCCCGATGGTAATGAACAGGACCGCACGGCGCGCTGAAATTCGAAACCCAGAAAGCGGGTTGCGAATCTTCACCACCAAAAATGTTGCACGCTTGTTTACATTAACGATAAGCGCCCACGCCTTTGCCGCCACGAACTCACACTGCCACTACCACCCTTTCTTTTCTCTCCGCCTGTAAGACAAGTGTAAGACGATATCTTCCTTGTCCAGAGCTTCGTCGCCGCTTTTTTTTTCGGTTATCCCCTCTAATGGTCACAACAAATATATACCCCACTCTCTTGTTAGGTTTGCTATTTCTTGTTCTTGGTCTTGTTTCCACACAAACCGATAACACTGGTTAGCAACTTTTTTTTGTTGTTGAACGATGGTTTTTCAGTTTGATAACTGGCGTATAATTTCGTAAGGAATCTCCCCCCACGATAGCGACGTTTCCAGTGGAGACGCACGGTCGGTATTCGATCACTTAAACTTCTTGAATGCACGCGCGCCGTTCAAAAATCAAAAGTTATTATTGCTTACACACGCTCTCCTGCCTCCGGTCCCGCCCGGTTCCGCCAATCCATCCCCAATTCACTTTTATCAATCCCGCACTCGAAACAATGCTCGAAGTACAACAGTCCCATACCGGCGCCGAAAATAAACTAAATTCGCTATATCGCGTCGACGTCGGTCGGGCGCAATTCGTAATAACCCGCGACTCGATCAAAAGCTGCCCTTCGCTAAAAACCAACAACCGTCGCCAGTAAGTGCTGCATGTCGTCTGTAGTCTGGTGGTGGTGGTTGGTTGGTAGCCCAAAGACTACTAATCCGCTTGCGCATTGTCGCCTTTGCTCTCCGACACTCTCTTTTGCTCTCTCTCTCTCTCGCTCTCAGCGGATATCTACCCTACCTACTTATTTGTTTGTGTCTCATGCTTAGGCTCTGAACCATTTGGCGAATTTTTTTAACTTTTGGTTAAAATTTGACAGATGGAAAGTTATTGATTAACCCTGCTATCCGAGCATGGTTATTTCTGACAGACAAGAAGTTAAACTTTGACAACCGTGGCTCGAAAACCGGTCGATCGACAGCACGGGGATTTTCGAACATAGAAAATAACTTTCGAAATGTCACTTTTAACCACGAGTTAAATTTAACTCGGTAAATGGTTCACAGCCTTAGTATAGCAGATAGATTATTACCATGCTAGGGGTCTAGGTTACCGTTTATGATGGGGTTGGCAGTGGTGTCAGTTTTAGTAAAGGGTGTCCACGATGAAATTGCCACACTATGAAATTGCTCTAACTTTTTAACCGTTGGGTAGAATTTAATGAAAATTTGGGTGGATTTAGTTCATAGTGCATTATTTACATCCTGCAAGTTTTAAAGTCCTGTGATCAAAACTCGCGGAAATGGAGTCGAAAGAACAGCTCGTGCGTGATAAAATCTTGCGCATTCATCACGAGAACAAGGATCTCTCGCATCGTTCCATCGCTAAAACGTTGGGAATCGCGAATTCAACGGTGTCGCGAGTGATTAAGCGGTTCGAGGAACGGTTGACCACCGATCGGAAGCCCAGAAGTGAAGGAAAAAGTATTCCGTACAACACCAAAAATCACAACCGCGTAGTTGGGGCCTTCAACCGAAATCCGAACGCCTCCGTTAGGGATGTGGCTAAGAAGCTGCACCTAAGCCAAAGTTTTGTCCAGAAGGCCAAAACTAAGGCTGGGCTTCGAACGTTCAAGGTACAAAAGGCCCCTAATCGCGACGAGAAGCAGAACAAGTCCGCCAAAACCCGTGCCAGGAAGTTGTACCTCAACATGCTGACGAAAGTTGAATGCTGCATCATGGACGACGAAACATATGTGAAGGCCGACTTCAAACAGATCCCCGGCAACCTGTTTTTCACGGCCAAGGATAAGTTCAGCGTTCCGGAGCATGTCCGCACTCAGAAGATGTCCAAATTTGCGAAGAAATTCCTGGTTTGGCAAGCCATCTGCACGTGCGGGAAGCGGAGTGCACCTTTCGTGACCCAGGACACGATGAACGGACAGGTGTACATAAAAGAGTGCCTCCAGAAGCGGCTGCTTCCTCTCCTGAAGGCCCACAACGTCCCAACAATCTTCTGGCCGGATTTGGCCTCATGCCACTACTCCAAGGACGTGCTGAAGTGGTATGCGGACAATAAGGTCAATTTCGTGCCAAAAATGTTCAACTCTCCCAACACTCCGGAGCTCCGCCCCATCGAGAAGTACTGGGCGATTATGAAGCAGCACCTTCTTAAACGACCTAAGGTAGTGAAGACAGTCGAGGAACTGAAGAAAGTATGGGTTTACATGCAAAAAACGGTTGATTCACAGGTTGTGCAGAATCTTATGGCCGGGGTTAAGGCCAAGGTGCGGGCATTTGCGTATGGACTGTAAATAAAATGGTAAAATGAAGTTTAATAGTTATTTCTCAATCCCTGAAAATTTGATGGCAATCGGATGAAAACTCGAATTTTGCGAATCAATTTTGTGTGTGGCAATTTCATCGTGGACACCCTTTATTAAGGACAAAGCTCACGGCATTTTCATGGGGATTTCATTTCATCATCCAGAAGCCGTGCAGAGCTGAAAATTTAACTCTTTGCTTGCTTTTTTGCAGCAAATCCCGTGTAGCATTATCAGCTTCGTATATTAAGTTGTGTGCAGCGGTGCCAGTATACCAGATTTATCTGGATTTTCCAAATCTTTCGAAACGCATTCCAGTTCAACAATATATATATATATATATTTTTTTAAAGTATCTTAAGTATTGACTTATACTTAATCTCCTCTTAGAAAAAAAGAGAAAACTGATACCCATATGATTCTAAATGTCCGCATGGTGTAAAATAATTCAAACCTACGGCTTTTGGTATTACATATAAGACAGATTCTTCGAGCAATACAGTAAACTCTCCACAACTCGATGTCCACTAACTCGATATCAAGATAGTTATAGACCCATAGTAAAAATGAATGCCAAGGCTACTGCGATAGTGATTTCCTATGGGATTGTTGTTCTATAACTCGATATTTCTATAAATTGATGGTCCCATCAATAAAGAGTTGTAGCAAGGGGTGAGACAGTGGAGCTTATTACGGATGTCACTTCACGGTGAAAACTTGTCACTTGTCGTCACGGTGAAGTGATTCCCGTTTGATTTGTACGGCAATCACGGCTCTTATACTGAGTATCACTTCCTTATCACCGTGTAGTGACCAGGGCCCCACAAAGTCACTTTCAATCGAAAATCGTCAAGCGACGATGAAGCTGTCAACCATCACTTTCAATTGAAAGTCATTCCGTCTTCTCTTCGAGCAGATTCCCGTCAACATCAACAGAACCACTTTCGATCAGTTTTCATGCTATTTGTTTTGGCATGACTAGTCTTCATTTCTTCTTTCACTGTCAAATAAACTTACTTTTGCATTGAAGCGAAGCTGTTGGATCCAAATTCGTGCATTTTTTTATGACTTTTGTTGTTTGTTCACTCGGTTCTTTAAGCATATGCGCATAGATCTGTGCACGTGGATGCCAAATTTATCATTTTCGGGTGGTTTGTTTACCCATCAAAATGGGTATTTTTTTTTAATCGGGGTGACGTCTAGAGATCGAAAATTGACATGCGACGCCATTTTGAAATCCAATATGGCAGCTTCTAGTTTAAGAAAAAGTGAGAAATGCTGTCAAATACTTATCAATAAAGGTATTTTGGAAATCGGGATGAGTCTAGAGAATGAAAATCGATTTACGACGACATTTTGAAATCGAAGATGGCGGCTTCCGATTTACGAAAAAGGGGAAATACAGTCAAATACACATCAAATATCCATCAATATAGGTATTTTTGGAATCGGGGTGACGTTTGGAGAATGGAAATCAATATCCGACGCCATTTTGAAATCCATGATAGCGGCTTCCGGTTTGAGAAAAAGTTGTAAATTCTATCAAATTCCCATACAAACTGTTTTTTTTTTTTTAGAATCAGGGTAACGTCTAGAAGCCGGAAATTGATATCCGACACCATTTTGTAATCCGGCGGCTTCCGATTTGCGGAAAAGTTTCAAATATCCTAAATATGCTCGAAAATATGGTTATTTTCAGAATGGGGATGAGACGTAGATGCCGAAAATTGATGTCACACCGTCTTTAAATCCAATATGGCAACTTTGGTTCAGAAAAACTGTGAAATACTGTCAAATACCGATCAATGTGGGTTTTTTTGGAATCGGGCTGACATCTAGAAGAAATAAATCGATATCCGACGCCATCTTGAAATTCAATATGGTGGCCTCCGATTTCAGAAGAAGTGTCAAATAGCCTACAAATGGCATCGAATATCGATTCTCAGCATCTACGCGTCTTCATTCCTTTATTTAACGTCGGTCTCTGTTCCGCAACCTAGTGCCAATCACCGACGGACATCGATTGCCATCCATTGACGGCAATCGAATGTGCAGGAAGGCAGCTTCCACACCTGCGTAGGATATCGCACCCATTCAACACACATGGGTCGGGACCAACGGCTTTACTTCCCTTCCGAAGGGAAGACGTGACCAGAGATTTTTATGCCTCAGAAAAATCCCACCGACCTCGGCTGGGTAAATCATCTACGCGTCGTCCTCGTTCCGAAATACCCAGATCTTAGGGTATTTGACACTTTCTGAACCCTGATGGCCGCAACATTGGATTACAAAGTGGTATCTGAAATCGATTTTCGTCCCGCGGTATCTGATATCGCGTTGTCCCTGTTCTGACAATAACCATATTGTAGGGTATTTGACATTTTTTCCGGAACCCTATGGCCGCCATATCAAGACCCACATGTGAAAATGGCATACAAGCTTTTTGTAAACAAACCTTTGTAGGCCCTTCTCTCGAAAACCGAGAGTCGCCCACGCAAACCAACAACATCATCAGGAAGGGGAAAGTTTCCTCTACCCGTTGATGCTGATGGTTTGCGTTGGTGTCATACGGGTGACGAAAATGGGTATATGGAGGTTTGTTTATATGTTGTTCTTGATATTGGAGTCCAACATAGCATCGGATATCGATTTTCGGCAGCCACGCGTTGTCTCCGTTCCGAAAATACCCATATCTTAGGGTATCTACATATCTTAGGGACACGTTTTATGAAACTTGATGACCACCATCTTGGATTCCAAAATGGCGTTGAATATCGATTGTCGGCATCTCCGTTCCGAAAATTCCCATACTGTAGGATAGTTGACACTTTCTGAATCCTGATGGCCGCCATATTGGATTCCAAAATAGCGTCGGATAACGATTTATGGCATCTACCCGTTGTTCCCGTTCCGAAGATAACCATATCTTAGGGTATTTGACACTTCATAAAACCAATGACCACTATCTTGAATTCCAAAATGGCGTCGGATATCGATTTTCAGCATCTACGCGGCATCCCCGTTCCGAAAATACCCTATTGTAGAGTATTTGACACTTTCTCTGACCCCGATGGCTGCCATCTTGGACTCCAGAATGGCCTCGTTAATTTAATTTTCGTTTAATATAAAACAATATATTATTACTACATATAATCCGGATACCATCCCTATCGGTAACCGATATTGTGCGGATACTATCCGGATACTATATTTTGATGGCTGCGTCGTTAGGTCGTGACAAGTCGAATGAGTCCCGAACTGAAGTGAAAGT